AATCCAGGCCGGGCATTGGTGGCACACGCCTTTAATCCCAGCACTTGGGAAGCAGAGGCAGGTGGATCTCTGTGAGTTCGAGGCTAGTCTGGTCTACAGATTGAGTTCCAGGACAAGCTCCAAAGCTACACAGAGAAACCCTCTCTCAAAAACAAACAAACAAACAAACAAACAAAATCCAGGTAACTCTTGCTGGGACTAGATCTCAGCTATATGTTATTTCATTATATTTTGGTGTTGGGGGTTGGACCCAAGGTCTCACATATGTGACATGCACAGAACCCTGCCCCCCCCCCCCCCGTCCTATCACTAGATTTTAGGGATTCCTGGGTGCTGGAGAGACAACCCTCTTTTTAAAAAAAATTTTAGAAGGATTAAATGAGTAGTAGGGCCCAGTATACAAAGCCCGTTAGACTCACTGCCCTGGTTTGGTGGGCATTCATTGTAAAAGTTTGTCAACGGGGATATTTTGAGGCTTTTCTGGTTAGGGTCAAACAGATGTTGTAAAAGTTTGTCAACGGGGATATTTTGAGGCTTTTTCTGGTTAGGGTCAAACAGATGTTGCCTTTGGGCGTGTGGCTTTCTTGGCGATTAGTTGTAAGGACTCACATGAATGCTAAGTGGCCAACCAGGGAAAAGAGACAGGCTTTGAATTTGTGGAATGAGGACCCGAGGACAGAGGAAGACATAGTGCAAAAAGTCTGCGCTCACCTCCTGGTTTTGAAAACCCATCAATCACTGAGCTTGAAATTCCACTAATCCCTGCAGATCAGGTTACAGAATCCCACCAATCACAGGCCACCCTGGAAAGCTCTGCGTCTGCCCCCAAGAAGCCCCTGCCTCCTCAATTCTTTAGTTCTTCCTGCTTTTTCCAGACAGGGTTTCTCTGTGGCTTTGGAGGCTGTCCTGGAACTCTCTCTGTAGACCAGGCTGGCCTCGAACTCACAGAGATCCGCCTGCCTCTGCCTCCCGAGTGCTGGGATCAAAGGCATGCGCTGCCAACGCCTGGCTATTCCCTGGTTCTTATCATCTGTAAAGCGATGTTGATTTTGTTATTTTCCTTATATGTGTGGCTTTGGGAATGTTACAAAATGTTTTGTGGGTTTGTTGGCTTGTCTGGTTTGTTTGTTTTGATTTCTTTCTTCCTTCTTTTGAGACAAGTAAACCAGGCTGACCTGACCTTGAACTTGCCATGCTGTGGAGGGTGGCCTTGCACTCCTGTTCCTCCTGCTCCTGAGGACACGGGCCAACACACCTAGCTTGAAATCTCTGGAGTCGTGACTTTTTTATTATTTGGGTTATTAGCACATAGCAATCAATGGACAGACTGTTTACAGGGCACACGCTATTATTCCAAGAGTGACGATAACGTGTTTAAAAATATTTACACCTTTCAGAAAGGGCATCAGTGTTGGGCCAAGGCATACAGTTGTTCAGACTCTGAACTCATACACAGAGTGCCAAGCTGGAACATTCTAGGCACAGAGGCTGGCAGGATAAAAAATCTGTGGAAAAACCACTCTGGCTGACAGCTCTTCCTATGACTCCCGGTGGGTAGCAAGCATGGGGGATTTGCATTCCCCAGCTGATTTTGTAGTGACCACCCCGGGCTGGGAATTGGAAGCGAGCTCGAAGGTCCCATGGTCATGCTGCTTTGTGACTGTGTGGTCACAGGCAAGTCATTTATCACCGCTTAGCTGGGAAAGAGGAATGGTCAGCAGGGTGCTTTGGAGGCAGAAATGAGCTTCGTCTGTGTAAAGTCGTGGTACATGCAGAAAAGTACTGGACAAATGCATGTGTTAGCCGCCAGGGCGATGTTACCACACCGTAGCTCACCCTGAGAGACTGGAGAGCGCTCACACATACACCTGGGGATTCATGAACTAGAATGAGCAGCTTGTAAAGCCACATAGGCGTGCCTGGGCCGGGCCCCCCACAGACAGCCCTCTTGGCCATGTCTGTGTCTGTGAGACAAGCCACAGGGATTATCTCCCTTCAGAAAATAAGGTCAGTGAGAGGAAGCCAAGGCCTCACAGGGTCACTGTGGTGTAGTTTGAAAGAGAATGGTCCCCAAAAGGAGTGGCACTGTTAGGAGGTGTGGCCTTGTTCGAGGGACAGTGATGCTGTGGAGGCGGGCTCACGTAGGCTCAAGCCATGGCCAATGAGATAGTCTACTTCCTGTTGCCTGCAAGATGTGGGACTCTCAGCTCCTTCTCCAGCACCGCGTCTGCCTGCTGCTATGTCACATAATGGACTGAACCTCTGAACTGTAAGCCACCCCGATGAAATGTTTTGTTTTTTGTAAGAGTTGCCATGGCCATGGTCTCTTCACAGCAACAGAAGCCCTAACTAAGACACAGGTTGTTAACGGGGACTCAGGCATTGCTGAGACAGGCCTAAAAACGTTTTTTGTCTGAAGGAATATGGACCTTGGGACTGTGGGTTAGAAAGGCAGTGGGGTGCTTCATGGTCCATGGAAGACGGGGGTGCTGAGTGTGGCTGGGTGAACTGAGGGGGCTGCCTCAAGAGGTTTCAGAGGAAAGGACGCTAATACGTGGGCTAGAGACCATTCTTTGTTACTTTGGTGAAGAATGTGACTGCCTTTTGCCCTTGTCCTAAGAGTCTGCTTGAGGCTAAAGTGAAGAATTTTGGATGAATTCCACTGGCAGAGGACATCACAAAACAGCCTAATAACCACTCTGTCGTGTGGTTATTAGTGCTAACTCTGATGAAGATTTACAATGAAAAGGAGGTAAATGAGCAGGGTAAGTTACAAAAAAGGACTCTCGGCTACTTCTCCGGCGTGGTGTCTTCCTGCATGCCACGCGTTATCATCATATCCCATGATGATGATGGACTGCCCTCTGACTGTAAGCCAGCCACAATTAAATATTTTCCCCTGACCAAGACACTTGGGAAATTGGACAAGTGACTGGGAACTGCTTACCCAGATGACTAGAGTAGGGACTGTTTAGGCTGACAGATTGGAAGATTTCTGTACCATGGAACTCTGGAGCCAGTCAGAGCCAGGGCCAGAGCTTCAGTGACCCACGTAGTTCCCCACAGCCACAGAGCACCCTACAACCATAGCATGCCCCTGGCTATGGTGAAAGCGTTATTTTTGTGAAATGGAGCTAAAGGTATCCTAGGACAAACATATGACTTTGGTGGGTGGTTTATCCTATACCTAACCTAACCTAACCTACATCTCAAGCCCTATCCTACTTACCTAGCACACTTGCTTACATTTTGTTTTTAATTGAGTGTGTGTGTGTGTGTGTGTGTGTGCGCGCGCGCGCGTACTATCAGAAGCCAGTAGAGGGCGTCAGACCCCCTGAAGCTGGAGTTACAGACGGTTGCTGAGCTGTCTAACGTGGGCGCTGCGAAGCACTCTTAGGGCTTCCACGCGAGCAGTACAAACTTCTCATCACTGTACAATCTTACATAGTCCTGATCAGGGAATGAAAATCATTGGTTTGCTCATTATCCATGTGAAAAACTCACTTGAGGCAGTGTGAGCAATCCAGAGGTAGATGTTAGAAATAAGTCTGTGTGTAGAAAGAGACCGACCCAGGCCGGAGAGCTGGCTCAGCGGTTAAGGGCACTGGCTGTTCTTCCCAGAGGTCCTGAGTTCAATTCCAGCTGCTCACAAAAGCAGAGGTGCAGGCTTCGGGGCAGGATGTGTACTTGGATTCCCACCCTCTCAGGCTGCCTGAGAGATCTTAATCCCCCCCGGAGGTTGGGGTCTTGAAAAGGACCTGAGCACAGGAAGACACGGAATGAAGGCGTGGTCAGTCAGTTAAAATCTCTTATGTTCTAAGAACGCAGCAGGGCCTTTGTGTGAGCCTGAGAAGGCTTACAAGGTGTGCTGGATAAAGAAAGACTAGAATCCTTTGCGGAAAACACGCGTCTCTCTGTTCGGCCGAAAAGACTAATATTTATCTCTTATGTTCTAAGAACGCAGCAGGGCCTTTGTGTGAGCCTGAGAAGGCTTACAAGGTGTGCTGGATAAAGAAAGACTAGAATCCTTTGCGGAAAACACGCGTCTCTCTGTTCGGCCGAAAAGACTAATATTTGATGTCACTTACGCTCTGGTCCTCCCTGTAGGGAAGGGCTCCGAGCTGAGGGGGTGCAACCCTCTAAAGGCTGGATTCCAGGGCACCAGGGGGACGGAGGGATGGGAAGACTAGTCTGTGACGCAATCTCTCCTGTCCATTCTTTACTTTCTCCTCAGGGACACTTCTGCAGCCAAACCCTGCCCCTAGGCTGTCTTGGCCGGTCTGGTCTCAAGTTTACCACTGCTCTCAACTGAGGCCACCTTCCCTTTTTACCCAGACGGAACTTGGTCTCTGACCCTTCCCTGTAAAACCTAGGCACATGAAGTTGTTGTTTCTGTCTATCAAAAGCAGGCTAACCCTGGCTACATTAGGGGTTCAGTTACATGTTCTGTATTCTGCTACCTCCCTCTCCCCCCTCCCCTCTTCTCGCATCAAGTCCCTGAGAGCAGGAGCAGTATTGTCACTCTCTGCACCTCCATCTTTTGCCACACAGCCTGGGACACGGCGGGAGCTCAGTGTCTGTCTAACAAATGCTTGGGCTGGGAACAGACCCCATCAGTTTGTGGCACTGCTCACGCCTCTTTCCGATCTTGTTTTCTCGACTCTCAAAGCCCCGGCAACATAGTTCTGCGGGTAGGGTGCTTGCTGTGCAAGCGTAAGGTTCTGAGTTCAGATCCCCAGGACCCAGGACAGGCTTGTAACCTCAGCATCGGGCGCTCAGACTCGGGTGGGTCCCGGGGAACTTTCTCGTCAGGCAGGGTAACCGAAGCAGTGAGTTCCAGGTTTGGTGAGAGACCCAACCTCAGAAAGTAAGATGTAGGGGCTTGGGGAGATGGCTCTGAAGTTAACAGCACGTATTGCTCTTGGGGATCTGATGTCCTCTTCTGACCTCGGGGTTCCCACAGACACACACATAACTAAAAATAAAAAGTCTTTAAAAAATACAATTTATAAATGTATTATTCCACGTGTGCCTGCACAATGAGGAGGCCCCCACACATGTACGCACTCATGCACACGAACACACATATACACATGTATACTTACATGTACACATACAGAGATAAACAGCCACGGGTATTGTGGGAGGATATCCCAGGCCTGCATGCCCCACCCGTGGCTGCTCACCAGAACCAGCTGTGTGCGTGTTAAAAACACAGCTTTCACACACACCGGCAGACTCTCCTAACAGGGAGGGACCCTGGGATCCCCGCTGTTATCTCAAGGTGTTAGTGGCCGCTGCCAAGCCTGCTCTTGGGAATCTCCAGGCCCGTGAAGCCACAGGGTGAGGACAACGTGTGCACTGCTCCCTGCCGGCTTCCAGGCCCCACGCAATGTCGCGCACGTGGCACAGCAATGAGCGGCTGCTACCTCATCTTGTAAGTCGTTTCTCTGTTTGAGGGTACCTTCAGCTGCCAAGGCCTGTGAGGGAGCCAAGAGACATTGTACATGACCTTGAATTCTCAGCAGCGTGTCGAAGACAAGTGTCACCGGGCAACTTAACCCCTGAGTTTCAGATTCTTCTGTGGACTGGGGGGGGTGGGTTAAATGACCACCAGGGTCCTATGGGTCCTGACCCTTCCTGAATGGCTGCCACTTACGGTGTGATTTTAGCCAGCTGACTTGTAAGACGTTTCGCTGGGGTGTCTGTAACCTCACCCCTCTGTCTCTCATCACAGTACTGGCCATGGGGGATGGGGCAGAAACTCTGGATGAAGACTTAACACTCAAAGCCAAAACAAACAGAAAAGGTAAATAAAAGAGAAGGAAGTAAAATTAAAACCCGATGAGAAGGTAGTTAAGGCAGTTAACTAATGGTGGCTATACTGGCACACGCCTTTAATCCCAGTGTTTGGGAGGTACAGACAGACAGATCTCTGAGTTTGAGGCCAGCCTGGACTACAGAGCAAGTTCCAGGATAGCTAGGGCTACACAGAGAAACCCTGTCTCGAAAAACAAAACGAAAAATGAAAAAAAATAGTTAATTAAAAATTGTTTATCTCAGCCGGGCGGTGGTGGCGCACGCCTTTAATCCCAGCACTCGGGAGGCAGAGGCAGGCGGATCTCTGTGAGTTTGAGGCCAGCCTGGTCTACAGAGCTAGTTCCAGGACAGCCTCCAAAACAATACAGAGAAACCCTGTCTCAAAAAACCAAAAAAAAAAAAATTGTTTATCTCGACAGGCGGTGATGGTGGTGCACACCTTTAATCTGAGCACTCAGGAGGCAGAGGCAAGCAGATCTCTGTGAGTTTGAGACCAGCCTGGTCTATAAGAATTAGTTCCAGGACAGCCTCCAAAGCCACAGAGAAACCGTGTCTCGAACAACCCCCCCCCAAAAATTGTTCGTCCCAGTATGAACTCATTACACAGAGAATAAGAGTAATAAAACAACCATTTCTCTGTCCTGGAACTTTCTCTGTAGACCAGGCTGGCCTCAAACTCAGACACCCACCTGCCTCTGTCTCCCGAGTGCTGGGATAAAAGGTGTTTACCATCGCCTGGCCCATTTTTCCTTTTTTAAAACAACCAAATTCCTTGAGCTGTGATTCAAACACCATGAAATTAGCCCCTCAAAGTGTAGAGTTAAATGAGTTTCGGTACTTTCAGTTGAGAGTATAAACCTCTATTGTCATCACCATCTAATCCCAGTCTCTCCACATAGCCCTGGCTGACCTAGAACTTGCTCTATAGATCAGTCTGGCCTCGAACTCACAGAGGTGGCCTCTGTCTTCCGTGTCCTGGGATTAAAGGCGTGCACCACCAGCTTGCTCCAATTCTGGAATGTTTCGCTGTGGCTCGGATAAGCCTCCTCTTCACGTGGGTCTTCAACTCTGGCAGGTCAGGAGGCAGCCCCTGCAGGCAAGACCCTGAGGATGGCCAGTCCACTCTGGACGAGCCCGCCCTCGTCTGAAAGTGGGGTCACTGGAGGCAACCCCCCTTCCTGTTCCTCTCTCTGCTTCCGCCCGCCATGAGCTGTGCACACTCCCCCCACCCCATTCTCTCTGCAGCAACGGGGCACGATCGACCGGTCCACGCAATACCAGATATGGACCCGCACTTCTGGAAGCCAGGGACCTAAATAAGGTTTTCCTCTTTTCACGTTTATCCCCTCGGTTATTTCAGTGACAGGAAGCTGGCTAACACAGTTGTCACTCCCTTGACTAGCCACGCGCTTATTAACAACCAGACTTCTTCAACGCGAAGCCACCAATCCGTTTTCTAGCGTGAGGAATTTGCTTTGGCTGGACGTTGCAGACTAATGGGATCATACCCTAGTCTGCCTTTTGGGTCTGCTCCTTTCCCTTACATTCCAAGGCTTCCTCATGTTGTGGTTTACATGCCTGGTTGCTTAATTTTTAATGGCCAATAATATTCCATTGGGAGGGTATGTCACATTTATTTATTCAGTTCAAAGTTGACAGATATGTGGGTTTCTTCCACTTTTTTCCTAGTGATTTATTCGTTGAGATACTTCGCTCTAATTGGCCTTGAACTCGCTGGCTGACACTATAGGCACGAGCCACTACACCTGTTTTTCTCTGTTCCGAACATATACTTGAGTTTCCTAAGTGACTGTGGGTTTAAATACTTTTGCTTGTAGAACTCCAAAAGCTCTTAGGGCGGGGCTGGGCGTTGGTGATGCACGCCTTTAATGCCAGCACTCGGGAGACAGAGGCAGGCAGATCTCTGTGAGTTCGAGGCCAGCCTGGTCTACAGAGTGAGCTTCAGGACAACCTCCAAAGCCACAGAGCAATCCTGTCTTGGAAAACCAAAAAAAAAAGATCTTGGACCTTTGTAGTTCTGAGGAGCTGTCCAAACTTTCGGTTGGCAAACCAATCTCTCTCTCTCTCTCTTTCTCTCTCTCTCTCTCTCCTCTTTCACCTTATCCCCCCTTTTTCTTCTCCCTTCCCCTCCCCCTTTTCTTTTCCTTCCACCCCCCTCTTGCTTCCCCTTCTCTTTTCTTTGGTGTGAGATCTCAAACCCAGGGCTTCCTACATGCTAGGCAACTGCTCTCTCATTGTGACTCAACCTCTGTACCCTGCCCTTTTGATTTTAGTCATCCTGGTAGATAAAAATAGTATCTTATTGGGGAGGCAATTTGCACTAATTTCATTATCAATAATTTTGACAATCTTTCATGAACTTATTGGCCATTTGTAAATATCCTTTCAAGAAGTGTCTGTCCGCCCGTTTTTTTTTTTTTTTTTTTTTTTGGTTTTTCGAGACAGGGTTTCTCTGTGGCTTTGGAGGCTGTCCCGGAACTAGCTCTTGTAGACCAGGCTGGCCTCGAACTCACAGAGATCCGCCTGCCTCTGCCTCCCGAGTGCTGGGATTAAAGGCGTGCGCCACCAACGCCCGGCAGTCCGCCCGTTTTTAAAGTTTGCCTGGCGATCAGAGGGCGGGGCTAGCCGCTAGCTAACCATAGAAGCTGGGCAGTGGTGGCACACACCAAATGCCATGGAAGCTCTCAGAAATACGGTGTCCTTATAATGCATGACGGTCTCCTGGAGCCAAGCTTGTTTGGCCGCTATGGACGGAGGCAGCTTAGGAGTGACAGCCCCTGACAGCATCGTCTGCTCCTCTACCTCCGCTTTGGTATGCTGGGATTAAAGTCGTGCGCCACCACCGCCCGGCTTAACCCTGCTTTTAAGAGTCTTTTTCTTCTCCTACCCTGGCAGAAGTCCCTAGTACACTGTTGAAAACGAGCGGTAAGAACAGGTTTCTTGCCTCCAACTTGACGGAAAAGTTTTCTTACCTTTACACAGATGGCTCTGAGCTCACCCTCTCATTCCCCTTTGTTTGGTGGGGGTGGCAGTGTCTTACAGTGCAGGTCGGTTGCTAGCTTGGAACTTGTCCTGTAGACTAGACCGACCTCAAGTTGGCAGTGTTCCTTCCTCTAGGGCTGGGATTATAGGCGTGCTACCGCATGTGGCCGGCTTTCCTCCCTCCCTCCCTCCCACCCTTCCCTCCTTCCCTCCCTTCCCTCCCTCCCACCCTTCCCTCCTTCCCTCCCTCCCTCCCTTCCTTCCTTGTTGAGACAAGGTGCTCTGTGCCCAGAGTAGCTGACTCTGAGATTTTCCTGCCTCTCTTTTGTCCTGGGATACATAGGTTCATGCTGTGATGCTCAGCTGTTTTTGTTTGTTTGTTTGTTTATACTTTCTTATTTACAGGCTTATTTTACCTTCCCTCCTCTTTAATTTCTGAGTCAGGGTCTCTCTATATAGCCCTGGCTGACCTCGAGCTCACAGAGATCCGACTGCCTCTGCTTCCCAGGTGCTGGGATTAAAGGCTGCGCCACCAATGCCCAGCCTTTTTTACCTCCTAGTTTCTGAGACAAGATCTCACTTTGTCATTTGGTCTATACTGGGCTCACTATGCAGTGCAAATTGGGCTCGAATTTATGGCAAATTCTGGTTCCATTTCCCAAGTGTCTAAGTGATAGAATCACAGGCCCGAGCCACCACGTCTGTCTACAACCCTTTAAAAAGTAAATTTCAGAGCTGGCTGTTGGTGGACAGTTTCCAAAGCCAAAGAGAAACCCTGTCTCGAAAAACCAAAAATCAAATAAATCAAATACAATAAAAAATAAAATAAATTTCTCTGTCTAATCCTCAACTTCGAGAGCTGTGGTGGGTGATGCCACCTCCAGTCATGAGGAGATGGTTTCCGTCAGTAAAGTGCAGTCTTGAAAGCACAAGGACCAAGTTCTAGCCCTAAACCTTACAAAGTTGGGTGTGGTGGCTCACGTTTGTAATCCAAGTAAGGGGTGGAGGGACACCAGGCAGCTCCCGAGGGCACACTGACCAGACAGCCTAGCCTAGCCAGTGTGAGGTTAGGCCCATGACAGAGTCTGCTTGGAGCAATGATACAGAAAGCTGGCCTCTGTACACTGACACACACACACACACACACACACACACACACACACACACACACACACAGGCACTTCTTTGGTTCTCATAAATACTCATGGGCAATTGGTTAAGGCAACTCCTCTTCACTTCCTAATTTGCTAAAATCTTTTTCATGAATGGTATTAGAATCATGCAGTTGGCTACACTGGTGTTTCTCTCCCTGACTTTGTGAACTTAGTAAGTTATGCTGGCTAATAAGTTCTCATAGTTCAAGTCATCCAACCTATGCTTATGATGATTTGCTTTGCTGATATTTGTTGATGAGTTTTTGCACTCATGCTTGTGCAAATTTTTTCTTCTAATGACTGACAAGTTCTATAACAAGGACTCACTGCTAGTCTCATGAAATTGTGTGGTGCTTAATTTTTCCTTCTCTCCCCACTTAGCAGAAGAATTTATGTAATATTCACATTGACAGTCTTTTTCCTTTTCTTTCCTTTTCCCCCCGCCCCCATTCTTACCTTCATTTCCTTCTTTTCTTCCCTGGTTTTAGAGATAGTTTCTCTGTGTGGCCCTGGCTGTCCTGGAACTCACTCCATAACACAGGCTGTCCTCAGACTTAGAGATCTGCCTGCCTCTGCCTCCCAAGAGCTGGGATTAAAGCTTCCACCTCCGCTGTCCAGTCGAGACCCTGTTTAAAAAAACAAAACAAAACATTGTAAGACTTAGCTTTTCAACTTCCTTTGTCACTTTGACCAGGGTAGTTTTGTCTTGTCCTTTCCCATGTCCTGGGGATTGAATTTTACTTTTGATTTTTGAGGAAGAGCCTCATTAAGCTGCCCGTGACGGCTCTGAGCTCACTTCACAGCCCAGATTGGCCTTGAACTTGCTGTCTTCCTGTCTGAGCTCATCAGCCTCGACACCCTCCATCTCTGTCTCCCTCTAACGTTGGGGACCCAGTGCACGGGCTTCTACTCAAAGGGCAGGTGAGCTATCACTGAGGCCCGTTCCTTTCTGCAGCCAACAACCAGACGGTTAGCATACTTCCCAACAACCATAGTTAGCATACTTCCCAACAACCATAGTTAGCATACTTCCCAACAAGCAGACAGATAGCATACTTCCCAACAACCATAGTTAGCATACTTCCCAACAACCAGACAGTTAGCATACTTCCCAACAACCATAGTTAGCATACTTCCCAACAACCAGACGGTTAGCATACTTCCCAACAACCAGTCGGTTAGCATACTTCCCAACAACCAGACGGTTAGCATACTTCCCAACAACCATAGTTAGCATACTTCCCAACAACCAGACAGTTAGCATACTTCCCAACAACCATAGTTAGCATACTTCCCAACAACCAGTTAGCATACTTCCCAACAACCATAGTTAGCATACTTCCCAACAACCAGACGGTTAGCATACTTCCCAACAACCAGACGGTTAGCATACTTCCCAACAACCAGACGGTTAGCATACTTCCCAACAACCATAGTTAGCATACTTCCCAACAAGCAGACGGTTAGCATACTTCCCAACAACCAGACGGTTAGCATACTTCCCAACAACCATAGTTAGCATACTTCCCAACAACCAGACGGTTAGCATACTTCCCAACAACCAGACGGTTAGCATACTTCCCTCCGCTGCCTTCTTTCGTTCCGCAGGTGGGATTTCTAGGTTGTCCCCGAGCTCCTGGACTGGAGTGTCTCTATCACCACAGCGGGTTCTGTCCTTTCTCTTATTCACGCAAGGTTCTGCTGTCACCCTGGCTGGTCTGGAACTGTCTGTGAAGACAGGCTGGCCTTGAACTGAAGTCGTGTGCAACCACACACAGTCATGATTTCTTGGCGTCTCTCTGGGCTTACACTGGGAAACATTTTCCTTTTATCTGAATAATGAGTACCACTTCATTTAAAAAATTCATTTTTATTTATTTCTCTCTGTGTGTGTGTGTGTGCCTGCCACATGTGTGCAGACACTGAGGTCAGGGGAGAATGTGAAATCCCCTGAACTCCAGTTATAGGAATTGTGATGCAACCTGAAGGACTTGCTGGGAATCGAACACAGGTCCTCTGGAAGAACAGTGAGTACACTCACCTGTGGCACCGCCTCCACAGTCTCCACAGTCCTATTTCTTTGCTTGGTATGCATTGTGGCTAAAAATCTTTCTCTGGTTTCAAACATCTTGTAGACTGGGAGGCCCTCAAACTTGAAGTGATCTTCCTGTTTCTTCCTCCCACTTTGAGATTAGAGGTACTGCTACCATGCATGTTTTAATTATTATATTATTAATTTGGGGGACAGGGTCTGTGTAGCCCAGACTGGCCTAGGACTTGCTATAGAGTCACGCTAGCCTGAGACTCCCAATCTTTCTGCCTCAGATCCCCCTAGTGCTGGGATTACGGGCACATATCACCATGCCTGTCTGCTTTCAAAAAGGCCTTTATTAGTCTTCATTCTTTTGATTTTTTTCATTGTAAGTTTCAAAATTCTGGATCTCCTTGAAGTTCTTGGGGCTGTTCTTTGACTGGAGAAGTGAGATTTGCCCAGAATATGCAAGGCCCTGTATGCCAGCAGACTAAGACTCCCTGAGCAGTCCTCATCTCTGAGACCTGGAGTTGATGGTTAAGAAGCCATCTTCTTCCCTTCTCTGGAGGTTAACTGTGGGGTGTGCTACGGTTTCTCAGAGGGCTCCAAGTAGGACTGCATCCCAGTTGCCCACGATGGTAAAACAGGCACCGGCTGACCTCTTTCTTCCTCTTGGAATGTGTTTCTGCATTCCCACATGGTATTGATACCAGGGAAATCAGGGTCACCTCTTGGGATTCTTGGTCTCATTAATACAAGATTTTAAAGAACAGACTCAATTAAGCTTGATAACAAGTTTATTAGAGTTTAAAACAAGAGGCAGGCAGCAGAGGTACACACCTTTAATCCTAGCACTCAAGAGGCAGAAGCAGGCGGATCTCTGTGAGTTCGAGGCCAGCCTGGTC